TACATCATAACTAATGTAAAATTTGTAATAGCATGATGAATATAACAACAATTTCCATCAATCTCATTAATGTCCAGGCATCTAATTCTAATATATAAAATCATATCTGAATTTTATATTTCAAAAAAATCAAGTTTAAAAAATACATTTTTTTTATTTTAATAACATGCATAATAGCTAACATATAAAATTATGGCTAAGTAATTATAAATTTTAAAGCACCTATTCAAAATATCATTGATTTTTATTCACATTTAAAAAATGATTACCATGATTGAATTTTATAAAACTTTAGACTACTTTTAAATTAAAATTTTATATCTTCAAGGGTTATAAATAATATCAGGATGTTTTTTCCTGAAAAAATTTTGTCTTAAATTTATTAGGTAAATTTTAAATCACACCATTTAATAACTGTAAACACATTAGCTATTTTGATAATTGTATATAAATTTATCACATAGTATTTTTACAATTTCTATTTTGAGAACTGCAATTTGTTAAATTATTAAAAATAGTTTTAATAACTTAAATCTTTATAAAGGTTAAAAATACGAATTAAACTAAATATATTTGATATTTCATGTTTCAAGTTTAAAATTTGCCAGATAAAATTTATATTAAAAAAACATAATGAACTCAGAGACAAGATTAAATTTTCTCTTGTTCAACTCTTTATTTTTTTATTAAAAAACCAAGATTCGATGTGAGCTTACAGAATTAGTTTTATTAGATATATAACATTGTAAAAGTCTAAACGATATTCTATAAAAATAAGAAGGTTTTTATCAACAATAAAACACTTTGAAAGTTTTAAAAAGGTAGTATTTTTTTTTTTTGAAACTTTCAAAAGATTGTGGAATTTTATAAAAACTTAACTATCATTTAAAGAATTTATTATCATTTATAATATCTAATATTATTTTTGAATGAAATTTAAAATTTTATTTTATTAAATGGTTCATATGTTCAATTGTAACTTTATTTTTCTACTAGTAAATTATTCTATAAGAAGCTTTAATTACTTATTTTTTGTATCTCTAAAAATATAGTTATTTTTTTTATTTATATGCATTATTATCTTTTATTTCTATTTCTTCGTTTTTTTGATCATGTCGATTGAACGAGCAACTATTGCTACAATTCTTATGTACTTATAAGTTTATTTAAACTGCACAATGTAAATTTTGGCCTTTAATTATTTTTAAAAATAGAACCTTTTGATATGAAAAAAATATTGCTTTGAACTTTTGATAGTATTATTGAGGTCAAACATCTTTTAAAATATTTTATGTAATTGATTCAATAACTATAATCTTAAAGGAAAAAAAAAAAAAAAAAAAAAAAAAAAAAAAATCTTCAATTTTTATGATTTAAGATTTAAATAAGTATTTTAATTTTATGTAATAATAATGAGAATATAAGTTTCAAGATCCTTGATTTGCAAAAAAAGAAGTTACTAATGTCTTTTACTTTATTTTATATTATTTTCTTCTTATACAAAGTGGTTCAAAATTTTCTCTTGTAATATTCTAATAGAATTTTTTGTATGATATGATCTTCAATTCTTTATAGATACATTTAATTTAGGGAATGACTCAGTGGACATCTTCCTTTCATTGCATAGACATCCCTTGTGCCATGCACACTTATAAAAAATAACTAGTTTTAAGTTTAAGTGAGATATATAGTCATTTATTTAAAATTAATAATTAACTTTAATGATAAAATACAATCTAAACATTTTTATTAATTAAATTTTGGTTATAAATTTTTGGTATACATATATATATAATTATTATAATTTAAAATCAAACTAGTTATTTTTTGCAAAGATGTGTATGTGGGAATGTGTGGCATGGGAGTGTCTACATAATAAAGAGATGTCTATGTAATAAAAGAGATGTCTACATAGTAAAAGAGAGACGTCCACCTAATAGTTTTCTTAATTTAACTTATCATGGTATTCTTGGTAAAATTCAAATATATTTATTAGTGCATTGGTTAGTATATGTGATATTATTTAATTTTATAAATAATCTCATACTTTAATATACCAATATGTTTTTAAGAATATTTTATAAGTTTATATTTTTTTAATAAATTATAATTAGAATTAGAATTATAAACTTTAAATATATAAATTAAAATGTAATATTAAAAATAAAATATAAAAATAATGTGTCGAATTTTACATCAAGACAAAAAATAAATAAAAAAATAGAAAACTTTAAACAAATTGTCTAATCATCTAATTTTAAAGTTTTTTTTCAATTAAATTTTAAATTATTTTAATGTATATATTTCTTATAAGTGACAACAATCTAAGTAGTCAAAACTCTTCACCTATGCTTTCAACATATTAACTTTTAAAAAATATGTAATCTTTTTGAGAACCGAAAAATCTTCTTTAAAGTTCGTACTTTATGTAGAATAATCATCCATTAATGTAACTTAATCTGTGAAAACCAATAAAAATGCCCTAAATTTGAAGGAATCATCTTTACATTTTGATACATACTGCAATCCTCAATTTAATACAATGTCTTCAAGAAATTTATAAATGCAATAAAATCTAAGCTCTTATATGTGTGTTCTAACAAGCTTCAGGAATTTGTGGCCACCAAGGAGTCTTTGATGTTAATTGTCTTATATTATTAAAATCGAAATGTCCTCCAACACAAAGATTGAGACATGGTCAATGAATATAAAGACATGTTTGTCTTGGAAATTTATACAATAACAACTTAAATAAAAATAAAACATTTAGTGTTAAAATTTATTATTTTAAAGCCTATATGAATGTAACTCTACTTATATTTTTATGAATTTTTAACAACTAAGTGGACATTTAGTGTTTTACAAATTAAATTATCATTCTTATCATTTTATTATGAAGATTTGATGCTAGAGTATTGATTAAACTTAATTGAAATGGAGCATTACACAATATGATGAAGTTTGTATTTATTTATTTATTATTTCTGTTTTCCAAAAGTATTGAGCCAAATTAAAAATTATTTTTTACTACATAAATATTATTTTTAAATTTATATAATTTAATACTCTTGATAATATAGTATATAGTAACTTAAGAAAATATTATTATATTTATGTGTTTTAAAAATTGGCATATGTTTTTCTATCTTTAAACATTTTACATATTAAATTTATATTTTTAATTGTTTTTTATTTATTTTTATTTATTTTATTGTTTTTTTTAAGTCGTTGGATATGTTATAATGTTATTCAGATTATTAAAGATTGAAATTTAAACAAGTAAAACTTATTTAATTTATTAGTAGGATAGCATAGCATAGCATGATTCACAAATAATACACATTAATGGTTTTGTTTGTACAAACTCTTTAGCTTTTAAATATGTTATCTTCATGTTAGATCACCTCAGATTTGGATGTGATTACTTGCAAAGTTACACGTTACTAATGTGACAATTTGAAGTAGTTCACTTCTCTATTTTATTTTATTTTATTTTTCCACCTTCGTAATGATTAATTATTAATTAAAACTTCTTATAATCTTAATTTGACTATTTTTATTTATTTATTTGGTTGATATCAAAATTTGAAACTTATTTGTACAAGTATTAAAAAAATCCTTATTATTTAACTTTAATTTAATGTCAATAGAGTTTTATTTTTAATTTTTAATTTTTAATTTTTGTATGTTTTGTAATAAAAAAACGAATTATTTGTGTCTCCACAATTGTTTCACTAAAAAGAAACCAAGGAAAAATTCATTAAACATAGCATTAGAATTTCTTTCAAATTGATGAAACCAACCTTTAAACCTTTTGACGAGATATATTTTTATACTTAATTTTACAAATTCATGCAGGTAACTACTATGTCACAAGACTTTATCTCATTCACGAAATCCATGTACAAACACTCATGTAAGTTATAAAAAACATGCATTAATTGAATTCAAATTCAATGCTTATTTGTGCACTCTCACAAGGCAGCATTATATATAATTATCTATCGATAGGAAACCAAGGACATTGGAACCCGTCGGGATGAATGAAGGGAAAGAGGATGAATGTAGAGGAACATGGATGACTAACGGTATCTTCGTCCAGGGATGTCGCCACTCCTCCTCCGTACGGGAACGCGGGTTCCCCTGAAGCCGCAACATCGAAACGCGAACGAACGAACTAAAGAGCGAAAAAAAGTCGAAGTTTCGTTCGTTCGATCGCGACGAAGGGGGAGAAGTAGTGGGAAGCTCGCAGTATTCACAACCCTGTGGCAAACCCTCGCGTTGTGGTACCGGGTCGCGGTGGTGGTGGTGGTGCTCCTCCTCGTCCGAGCGGCGTCCGACGCGACGGACAAGGAAGGGGGAAGCGCGGGCTTCAGAATCAAGCGTATTGTTACGTCGCTGCTGCCTTTGCGTATGCATATATACTCATATGTATATATAATACTTATTAATATATAAGTGTTTTGTTGGAGTTTCGAGGTTTCATGTTAGTTTTGCGAATGCGAGGGTTTACTACCTACCACGCGGTGGCACGGGGGGTGTCCTCGCTCACGCAGTGTCAGTCTCGCTGCAAAGATCCGCTCCTTTCCCTACTCTCACTTTTTTCTCATCGCCTCTGCAGCACCGAGCTCTCTTCATGCATAGGGTGCCTGTCGGATGGTTATGGTGTATTGGTGGTTCAATGGAGAGCAGGCCGGTTATGGACGTGGAGCGGGGGTTGTGAATCTCTGGTGCGTGCGGGAAAAGTGACGGGAAGGGGCAGAATTGGGGAAAATCGTAATTGCCGGCTCGTCATAGCAATGGGGACGGAGGTGGAGTGCCCAGGTTGACCCAGGCTGGAGAAATGTGGTGGAAATGCAAGGAGTGTTGCAGTGGTGCAATGCTGAGGTTTAGCTGTGTTGAGGTGGTGGGAGTGGTCGCGGGCTATGGGGCTCAGAAAACAGGCTTGGGAGGTTAATCTGCAGGCTGCGAGAAGAGTGTCCGGGTATTATTTTGGCCGATGAGTTTTAGGATTTCATAGAAAGGGAAGACATTATGGACGAGGTGTCCCGGACCCCCTCGTTCTTGATAGACATTGAGCTCTGGCAGAAATTTAATCTTGAGCTCAGAGCTGCATGTCATTGGTGCACTCACCATCATACGACGACGCCGGCGGAAGCCGCTAAGCAGCTGGAACGAGGGGAGGGGTGGCCTCGAGACTGGATATCTCGCAAGGTAAAAAATTCGACGCGCCAATTCGGGGGATTGTTCATATGCCCTGCCCCGGATTGCGCCGGACATTCGAATGCTAAAGGCGAACGCCGACGGCGTTGGTTTTGTCGGTTTTGTATAAACAGGCATTTGAGCGTTGACCTCAAGAATTTTTTCCAATTCGACGAAGTGCAAGGCAAGTGGATTCAGGTGTGTGTTTGCTGCGTTGTCATCATGGCGAGAGAACCTGTTTTTCCAAAATGTAACTTTTATTTGTCATAGTCGCCGAAATTTATTAAAAAATAATAATAAAAAAAACGGCATTGGTAATATCTCTCTGTCTAGATTCATGGAATTGATCATCTCGTATGAAAATAATCCAATGAAGGGACGTATAATGTCATAATTATCCTGATTATCTCCTGGAATTGTTTTGACATAGACAGCTCATACTACTTCAGTGATTATTGTAGATCCCCGACCTCTTCTGCTGGCATTGCCAAGCCAGGTCGGGAGAAGCAGAGTGTATAAATTGCCCTCAGAAGCACACGAAACGAGCTAAGAGGGCGAAGGAGAATCCCCTGCCACCCACACGATCACTGCTTGGACCACCAGGTCACACGAATGTTGCGGGAGTTGTATCAGTCCTTCTCGCAGCAGCGGGAGATGGCGATTATGATGGAGTGTCGAGTGAGGGAAGGGGAGGACCAACAAATGAAGCCCACAGTATGGACGAAAGCAATTTCGGGGTGGGTGAGACGCATGTGCGATTGGGACTTCCTATGCATGCTTCTCCGGTTTCAGATTTTCGATATGGTCCTCCTCCCTTGCACCAGCAGCACCAACAGCAACCACCACCTCCAAGGGCCTTCTTCTCTGAGAAGGTATCTTTTGTTTTGGTTTTGGTTTTGGTTTCGGTTTCATCTTTATCTATTTATTTATCTGGGGGTGCTTTATTTTTTTTTTTTATTGTTAATATTATTACTAACAATAAAAAAATAAAATTTTACTGTGACTTCCATAGGAAATTCGTTTTACATCCTTTACAATAACAAGGAATTTACAAGGAGAACATACTTTTATTAGATATGCAAGGTTTGGGGTCTTGAATCCACTGATTAAAGATTAGCAATGCTCCGTCAAACTATTTCACGTTTTTTAGTGGGGCGGGCAGCTTTTCCTCCCGAAAAAGGCCCATTTCTGATGTGATCACATCATCAGCTCACACATTCGGGCTTAAACATTACAATTGTGTTGGCTTTTCAGTCCTCGGCATGAGTGTATCAGGGTTGCTGATTCTGTAGTATGTTAACTGGTTTGCTTGTGCAGGGCCTTGTGTGTAGGGAGTCGCAATCAAGTGTTGTACCTCATTTACTTGACTATGTGAACAACTCCTGCACACCGTTTCATGCTACAGGTGAGCTTAGAAAGGAGCCTTGGAAATTATTGTATGTTCATAGGTGACTACGTATTTGAGAGTGGATTTCAAGTTCGAAGGATTTTAATGTACTTAGAATAATCATACTTTTATGCTGTTTTCTGCTTTCAATTTGCTGCATGCTTAGTTATGTTGCCTGTCAAAGAGTGCATGCCCCTGTATAGTGCACCTTGTGTTAATTGCATGTTTAGTCTGGAACAGCGGCTGAATTGTTTTTGGTTTTATTTGACAGCGGAGACAAGGAATCATTTGTTAAGCTCCGGATTCCAAGAAATAAGTGAATGTGAAGAGTGGGCAGTGCAGCCAGGGGGACGCTATTTCTTCACTCGTAATATGTGTTCCATATATGCTTTCGCGGTCGGTCACAAGTAAGAAAGCATTTTGAGCCTATCTTTTTAGAGGTGTCTTTATGGATAATTTTTCTCCATGCGAATCAAGTTTGATTTTGCTCTATAATCATTCTTTGGCCACTTGGTATGCATGGTTGTTCACGTATTTTGCATGAGCTGGAAAGTTAATCCTGATTTCTTGTTTGGCAACATGGCCAACTTATCACCACAGCCCCTCTTGCTACAAGCCAACAATGATCAGAAGTCAATGAATAATTGACGCAACGATATGTTTTGATACTGTTTTCTTTGTGCAGATATAAGCCTGGGAACGGTTTTCATGTGGTTGCTGCTCATACTGACAGCCCATGTCCTAAGTTGAAACCGGTTTCATATTCAGCAAAAGGGGGTTTTCTGCATGTACGTGTACAGCCATATGGGGCTGGAGTTTGGCAGACCTGGTTTGACAGAGATCTAAGTATAGCTGGTCGCGTACTAATTCGAAGGAAAGATGGTGAGCTTGTTAACGAGCTTGTACGGGTGAGGCGCCCTATACTTCGAATTCCAACAGTGGCCAAGATTCTTGACAGGTTTGCATGAACATATACACATTCTAAATACTGCTGAATGGGTTCGTGTCATTCCGCTGATGGCACTCGTCGAAACAATTTTCTATTGATTTCAGTTTTATTTTTGAGTTTGAATGAATGTTAGTTTGAAATTGTTTCTTTTAGATTTTAATGTATGTAGGACAATTTAACTGGCTATGAAGTTCCTATCGATAAAAAAATTGGTTTACAGCTGTGTTGTTTACGTTATGTATATGATCGGCTATTTTCATTTATCTAGTTATTTATTTTGAATATTTGTATGTCTTAAATGTCCCTACCTCTACACATGCCCAATTACAACTTTGATGCAGGGGACTAGCGGCAGATGCCAGCAAGGCTGACGCAGAAGTAAATCTAGCTCCGATTCTGGCCATGCAGATAGAGTCAGAACTTGCTATGTCTTGCGACTCTGAGTCATCCATGGCTATGGAGCACAATGATCACGGATCGCATGTTTATCCTCAACCGACCACCGCCCATCACCCACTTTTGATTCAGGTGTGGTCACGCCCACTACGACTTACTGCGTTTCTCAATTTATTTTTAATAATAAACGTCATATTGCTGCTTGGATCTTATATGGACTAAAACTCATATATATATATATATATATATATATATATATATATATACATACATAGTCACGTTCCATCTTGCCTATCTTACTGGAGAACGGAAACTTTTGCTCCATTGAATGATTGGTCAGATTATCTCATGGGATGAGAGGGGTGGATGGATGGATAGTGCAGGTTTTAGCAGATGAGCTCAAGTGCGATGTAAGCGAGGTTGCAGATTTTGATCTCAGTGTATATGATACACAGCCTGGCTGTGTTGGAGGTGCTCGTGATGACTTCGTTTTTGCTGGACGGCTGGACAACTTAACCTCGACGTTTTGTGCATTGTGGGCACTTTTAGATACATGCGCAGACTCTTCGTCTCTAGTGGATGAAAGCTGTGTTCGCATGATTGCTCTATTTGATAGTGGGGAGGTACTAGTGTTACACCCATCTTTTCATACGTCTTTTAGTTGAACGTTGCACTTGTGGTGTTTCCTAAGCCTGCCATTGCATCATTATGTACTCTATCCATATGATACAGTTGGGAGGAACGGATTCAGTACAAGCAGCAGGACCATCAACATTATTACAGGCTATGACACGCATTACTCGGTGGCTTGCTCGGGGTTCAGACAGCGAAGGAGTTGTTGAGCGAGCCATGCGGAGGTCTTTGATCGGTAAGCGCAACGTGCATACTCAATTTTGTTGTTGGGTTTGGCCTTGTATTTTTCAAATTTTTCTAGCTGTCGCTCATTAATAATAGTAACGATTTGAGCAGTGTGGTTCCTCCCTGCGATCTACTTGATCGCTAACCTCCACCATTTGGTTTGATTTGTGCAGTGACTGCTGACATGGTAGATGGGATGCACCCATCACAAGTGTGTCCTCCTGGCCAAGAAGAGTCATTTCATCAGCCCAAGCTCCGTGATGGACTTGTACTGAAGCAGGATGCTGGCAATTCTAACGACATTATGACATTGTTCCTATTTCGAGAAGTAGCTAAACGAAGTAGTATCCCTATTCAGGTTTTTCACTCTTCTCTGTATAAATGCGTTTGTTTGGTCCTATATTGTCCTTCCATCGTGAGTGAACCATTGTGTTTGTGTTGGCATTCTTTCTCAAGATATCTGACAAGTCACGCTCGTAATTGATTTTTGTAGAATGCATTCTTCTGATTAAGAGGATGTCCACTTATATAGCTTTTTCTTTTCAATTCATTCTAATGTCTGAGTTGCAGTCTTCTGTGTGCTTTTTATTAATTCATCCTTCAATTCATGTTTTGTTTCCTGTAGAATTTCCCTGTTTCAAGGGAGATAGGCTGTTGTTCAACGGTTAGTTCAATACTAGCTGCTGGTTACGGACTTCGGTTGATTGATTGTGGGGTGCCCCTACTTTCTATGCATAGGTAAGTCCACTTGATATCTTAGGTGCAATTCTGGATCCATTGAATGGTTCATGCAACGATACAACTGGTTGCAGACAAATTTTATTGGTTATTTCACCACTCTTTTGGTGGTCTTAGAACTTGAATCGAAGTAGAAAGTCTCTTGGTCATGACTCATAGCAGTTCAAAAGCATTTGACTTAATCGATTTCAGATGCCTATTTTCTCTAGATAGCCCCCTTTTACAAAATATGAATCAGTTCTATAAATTTTGTTGGGAATCTTAAGGAATTCCCCTACTGATTCTACATGTGTTCTCTTTGTGCAGTGTTCGAGAAATGTGCAGCACTGAGGACATTGACACAACTTTCCGACATTTCAGGGCATTTTTCCAGCATTTCACATCCATGGATGAGCAGCCGAGGGTTGATGTTTAGTGCTTCGTTAACAACACAATACTGTAATATTACAGAGCTGCATAACATCGGTTTCGGGCTTCCTCGTAGCAAGTTGCCCATGGTTGTTAGTCCGTGACACCAGCTAATTCCAGATTGATCACAAGCGATTGTTGATAGTCATTAATATACACTGTAACGCACGTTCATTGAGCATGGCAGTGGTAAGTCTTTGCATTGAATCTAATGATGCAGTCCAGAGTGAATTTTTGCTGCTCTGTTCGAAGGAATCACCATGCATGAAACGCCATACTTTCTCTTGAGATTGTTGGGTATGAGGCTTGTCCACTGAAATCGGTTGCACTATGTATGATGTGTTGGGAATTCTTTGGGAATCATTCATGTTATACTGTTCAACTTTGCCTGAGAAAATCAATAACAGATTTTCATTTTTTTATACTATTATTCTTTACATTGCACTGTATGGTTCTATTATACAATATTTAAACCCTATAGCTTAAATCTCTTTAAAAAACAGTCAATTTTTAGGGCGTATTTTTGTATTAATTTAAAAAGTGTATCTTTCAAAATATTACATGGTAGAATTTATTACTTAGTCAAAGTACAACAACTATGGATCTTCAAAAGTACTATTAAAATTTTCAATATCACAAAATGATTGAGTGTAATTATAAAATTTAAGTAGAAGGTGTTGAAATTTTAAAAAATAAAGGTGTTAAAATTGTCACCACAGTTTTTGCTATTGGCACCAAAAATTGTAAAATTTGATCTTCTTTCTTTTACAGTTCAAGCCTATAACCATTCTTTGTAGCCATAACTTACTAGCTTTGGATTAGGTTAACTTGGGAGATCTCCCCTGTGGTGATGCTCTTGACACTACAACATATTTTAATGAAATTTCTCATCTTGGAACCCTCTAGCTTTGTCTTTGTTGTGTTAGTGGAAAGAGGCAAATGGATGTAGGGCTTTTTAACAAATTTTCTCAGCTACAAACTCAAATGTATTGATAAAATTGTTAATGAAAGTTTTGCGTACTAGTACAAAATACATTGAATTTTATTACAAAGTTGATTCCTTATTATTCCATTTATTTTCACAAAGAATCCTTATAAAAGCTAATAACTCAAAGGAGAAAAAGACGACCTAAGTTTAGGATAGCTTATGGTGGCATTAGCAAACACTATAGTGGCATGTGGTAAATTGCAAGCTTGTATTGAAAAAAAAAAAAAGTTTGCATGAAACATAGTCTTTTTTTTTTCTTTTTTTTTTTTTTTTTAAAATATATTATTCTTCTTCTTGTTTTCTAAATTGATGCTAAATGGAACATTTTGGCAAAGATACATTAGAAACAAAAATTGATATTGTAAATACACAAATAATGGATCCAAAATTGCTTCAACAGCTCCACTTGATCTACACGATTAAAACCAGCAATGCCAGCAAGGATTATGATTTTATTATTATTTATAGTCGGTTCTTTGAAAGAACTAAAATTTATTTTGTCTCGCTCAAAATTGAAAATACAGTTGAACCAATACAGACACCAACATCTGGCATTTCAAGAGTTTCTATGCATCTTTGTCTTAAAAGAACATATTTTTGGGGTGTAATAAATTGCATTCTAACACTTACTGGTAGCTTTCTCATGGCTTCATTGTGTAGGAGCACAGGACAACAACAAAATGGTGATTAGGCTTCCATGTATTTGCAAGAAAACTGCATGATAATTGTTGCACATTTTTCTGTAATGCAAGGAGATACTCAACAGTCAAGTGAAGGTCCTACAGTGGATTTGAGTCAAAGCAAGGAACATTTGTTAATTTAGGGAACAGTGTAGAGATTGTAATTCCAGCACCATCCAACCTTGAAAATCCCACATTCCTGAAAGCAGGTAACAACTTTCAATTCAGTGATTGTGCAAAGAGGTTCAAACATTAACAACTTGAACAGAGTTTTTCAAGTACACCAATAAGCATACTGTTACAGATATTGTTACTGCCATTGCATTAATGAAGGGGAGTGTGTAGGTGGTGAAAATTGACATGGACAGTACCCCCCACTACACTGGCTTTAGCCACTGTCCTCTCCAATATATATATATATATATATATTTATTTTTACAGACGTAGAACAAAGCAAAGAGAAAGGATGCAAGTAATGTTTGCTTGTTGTATCCAGTGTTTATGTTTCTTCTTAGTCGTCACTTAAAAGACAACCAAGTTTGAGCACATCATGTCTGAGTACTGCTCTATGACTTGGTTTGTATGGTTGGTCTCTAGATTGGGTGGATTGCAAGTCTTGCTTCATGAATAATTTGGTATGTCATTGTTCAGAATAGTACTTTGTTGAGTCTTGGATTGAGAGAGGCTTCTGCTTCAAGTATAATCAAAAGTCTCAAGTATTGAGCAATCAAACACAAAAGAAAGAAAGAGATATTTATATGTATATATATATATATATATATATATATAATAGGGTTGTGTTTTTAAGATTTGATCAAGTACATGTATGTTTGCAGTTTTCTCAAGCTATGCAATGAAGTTATTAAATCTCTCAAGGACTATGTACACAATATTCTAATGTATACATTTTTTATTTTTTATTTTTTACTTTTTTTTAATAAAATGTTGTTGGGTATACAAATAATTACTTTAAGAATACTAATTTAAACTACTTTTAAATCTGTAAAAATTAGATAACTAAAATTATTTTTATAAAATAACTTAATTGATTAATATTTATTTTATCTATTAAATAATTAAGCCAAATAGTTTTTTGTTGTAGTTTCAGACACTGTTGTCTACTTGAATTTTAAAAAACATATGAATTGATTCTTATTTAATTTTAATTTTTGATAATTATAAATTAAATTATTTAAATTTATTGAAAAATATATTAAATTTCAGGATGTATATAACTATGTAAAAATATAAATGATTATATTTCAAAAAATATATATTTATTAATTTATTAAATTTAAGATGAGAGTATTTATATTGTATTAAATACATACTATCCATTTTATTTTTTGAATCTATTTTGACATACTTTTGGTAGCATGTCACAAGTTCCTTGTATGATGGCATTAGTTTACAAAGAAAAATTTCGTCTCTCTAAAGACTTCATGGACTGAAACGTTGTATCCTAAAAATCTTGAACTTCATAAAAACTATAGATTAATCATGAATTATAACTAAGCCTTTATCCTTCTTATAATAGGTTAAAAAAATGGAATTTTAATTAAAATAAAACTAAAAATAATATGATTTATATAATATTATTTATTAAATAATAATTAAAATTAAACATCAAAAAAATCAAAATAAAAATTACATATCTTATTCCTAATATAGTTAATTATTTAATATAAACCAATTGTGCTAGAATTGATATAAGTAAAAAAAATTAATTTTATATTTTTTTGTTATAGTTAAATTATATAATTTTAATCAATAATTAACTTATTAAATTTATTTGAAATATTACTCTAAAGACAATAATATTCAATTTATTTTTATATATAGTGGTTTTGTAAAAAGAACAAAAAAATTCACCAAAATTATAATTATTTATTTAGTTGTGTCTTATTAAAAATAGAATATTATTTTTTAAAATAATTTTAAAATAAGAAACCAAATAAAAATAAGATGATTTAGATTTCTAACTAAGTTGTGTTGATTTTAAAGTTATTACTAAAAAAATACAGTAATTTTTATTAATATAAATTTCTATTTTAAAATATATACTAAAGAAAAGAATTAAATTATATAATAAATTATTTTTGTTGTATATTAAAAGAAAACATTGGATTCATCATAAAAACTGTGAGTTCAAACACTCTACATAAAGCTATATTAATTTAGATTTTTTTATTAGATACATTATAATTTTTTTATTATAAAAAATTACGTATATATATATATATATATATATATATATTGAAAAACTCCAATTCATATTTTTTTCAAATAGCTATTACTTACTTCAAATATGCACAAGTAAGAATGTATATAATTAATTTTTTTCATCAAATACTAATTAGTTGTTAATATCTTGTTTTTGAAATAATATTTCATTTCATCTATCACAAAAAATAATTCAGTGAATACTATTTCTTTTATCCAAGAAAAAAAAAAGATTTTTTTTGAAGTATTATTATTATATCAAAATAAAAAATAAAAAAGACACAATGCTACTTTGAAGAGTTTTATTGCATAGTGTGTTTGAGTTATTAATCTAAGGTGAGTCAATTGCTTTCATGAATAAAACTATAGGTAATTGGGAGCTAAGCCTAACCATAACATTGTATACAAATACACTTAAGACACAATTAGCACATGCATTGGTAGCCTTCACATTGTCAGAGACTGGTCATATAATAGAGCAAGTAAGAAAAAGAGGACAAGATGGAGCTGGAACTATTTGTAGCCACTGCTAACTTAGGTAAGTTTGAGGCTATCAATCCTACTTATGTCACAATAGGTAAAAAAACTTCCTAATGATTTAATATACAACTACATTGGTTTTTTTATTGAATACCAAAGCGTTTGAAGTTTGATTAGACATAAGCAAGGTTAAAAAAAAATAGACTGTCTGCAAAGATGTGTGATAATCATCTATTTTGTCAATAGGAGACTACCAACAAAACAAGTGAAAAATTAAGTAGATTACTTGAAGTCAAAAGTATAAAAAGAGCTACAACTTGGGCATGATTTAAGGTATGGATTTTTTCAACTGGTTTGTAAAGACAAAGTGGCTTCATAAAAAATCCTAATGCAAATCTCTTATATTTTGGAGAACGTACATCATCCAACCATAGATGACAAAGTTCAAGTCAAGTTGGCTAGTTGGCATGAAAATATTGACTTGAGTGACATTTAAAGCAATTCCAACAAAATGATAATCAATGCTCATAACCTAGTACAAAGTCTTGGCATGGAACTAAAATATGATAGAAACAATATAAATGAACGAGATAAAAAATTATGTATGACTTTAACTAATAGCAATCCATATTATTTTATAATTGGAGCTACAAATCTAATGACAAGGAAAACAATTTATATCCAAGTGGATTACAACTACCTTCCTATAAGGTGTAGGAAGGTGTCACTTTGATCAAGGAATGCATATTATTTTTTAGTCCCAAAAAAACAACTTCTAAGAACAATTCACCATCAATAAAACCAAATAATTGATAAGGCATTCTATAGGCAACAACTTTTTTCAAAAAAAAGCAAGACCAACTAATGCCAATAG